GAACAAACTCGAAGACAGGCCGCACACACACCACACGCTTTGCCAACCGAGGCTCTCTCGTATCAACTCGACACTCAAAATCTGACTAAACTGCTTTCGTCGAATTGGGCGTTTTTTTGGGGTTCGCGGTTTGTTTCTCCTTTTCGCCTTTTTGTTTCATTTTTAATTTTCTTTTGGAAAATGCTAACAGTCGGGGTTTCGTTAGCATTAGCTCACTGCCGTGGGTGTAAAATTGGCGGCACGAAGAGGAAGGGTGGGACGATGTGGAAACAGTTGTTCTGTCTTCTGCAGTGGGGCGCGTTCTTGCCCCGACTGGAACACAACGCATACACGAGGCATGCCACGCACACACACACACACTGTCACACATTTAAGCCGATGGCTGTGCATGTATAGTTACACATGCTGCATGTTTTCCTGACTGCCAGTTGCCAGAGGACATGCTCTGTGTTCTAGCAAGTCATACCACTATGACCGCCATTTTTGTGGCGCCAGCGTCACCATGGACAAAATTATGATGTGTGGTTGGGACACAACTAGGTTGTCACTCAGGTTCAGTTTTTGCACGGGAGAATGCTGATTTAAGCCGATTCAAAACACACACATCACACACAGCTGGGTAAACTCAAGGGCATTATAACATTTTTAGGTTTCGGAAAAGCGGCGTGCTTCACAGACAACCACTAATTTGATACCGATTGAGCCAACTGTTTCTCCACTTTTCCCAAGTAAATTAGAAGGTTGCGAATTTTAAAACATGTTCATAGCGGTCGCAACGGACATTTTTTTTAATTATTATTAATGTCTGCCCGCCTCAAAACATCCACATTAAAAAAAAACGGGTACTTATGTCAGAAAAGGTTTTTAGTGATATACGTTTTGCTTCATTTTGCTTCATTTTGTTCATTTTTTTTAATTGATTTTAGGAAGCTTTTTGATAACATCTCACCTTTTTTATGCTTGCTGTTTTATCAACCCAAATTAAACTTGAAAAGGACAGCTTACATCAATTAATTTTTGGTCATTTTAATTTGCCATTCAAAATGTAGGCTTTATAAGCAGGGAAACGCCGACATTTTCAAATAAATAATTAACCATGGACCTTTGCCTTGCTGGACTTTATTGCTGCAAGTTACGCAGCAATATTTAAAGGCATGAAATAGTCGCGGAAAATTTAATTCTTTGCCGTTGCCCCTTGCTATTGATTTGTCCTACAAACAATACTCCGAAAACTACAAGCCACATTAGACACCAGATAAGCGCACACACACCAAGCCCTCAGTGGGAGAGGCCCTTAGACCCAGCATGCCTATTTAATGCTTCGTTAACCCTAGGGATGGTGTTAGTGGTACAGACCTTTGCGGCAGTAATTTAGGGGCCTCATGGTCTGTCAGAGCACATGTTGCTGCAGGAAGACCTGCTAGGTACAAAGATGGAATGTTTCAGGACAAAACCACAGTGTTTCGCTGCTAAGCCTTTTAATAACATCCTTTCTCCCTCTGTGTCGACTACAACAGGGATGAGCCTCGGCAGTGTCCCATTTCCTCTCTCATAAATCTCAGCTCAATCGCTGCTGCATGTGGGATAGGGTGGTTAGTTTTCCTGCGATACAATCAATACACGCTTTTCTTCGTGTGTGTATGTTGTGCTCTGGGGTTGGGTGTGTGTTGTGTGTTGTGTGTTTTGTGCATGCTTGGTGTGTTGTTTTTGTGCACTGCTTTTGTGTGTTTTTGTGCATGCTTGGCTGGTGTTTTTTCGTGCATGCTTGGTGTGTTTGAGTGACCATGCTTGTGGTGTTTGAGTCTTCGGCGTTGCCGTGTCAGGAGGTGGGGTTCCAAAGCGCCCGTGAAGAATCGCATTTAATAACAGGCTGCAATTTGTGCAAGCCCTCGATCCCGGTTTGCTGACCACTTCCTGTTCCTTCTCTCACTTGACTTGTTTACACGGGCGGTTCCTTTCTTCAGAGCGGTTTTAACCGCTATAACTACCTGTATTCTTTTATTTTTTTTGTTTCCTTTCCTTCCTTCTTCTTCACCAAGGCTCTCCCACCACCCCTCCCACCCCATCCCTCCATCCTTCCCTCCATTATTTCCTTTTAGTCCGCCCCCTGCTGAGAAAGTGACGCCCAGACACAAACACCCCCCTATCCCGTCTCTTTCTCTCCCTCCCGTTTCTGTCTGTCTGACCTTGTTTCAATCTTTCCAACCTTCTTTTTTCTTCACCGTACTTTCTCACTCGGGTCTCCTCCGCTCTTCCTTTCATCTTCTGTCCACTTCTTGGTTTCGCTCTGTCATTTTGAATTTTCGTGTGTTTTTCCCCCCTTCTTTTTCATTTCCTGTATCCCCTCTGTATAATCTCGATCATTCTTACTCCTCCTAATTTACATAACACTATCTTTTCCTGTTGCCATGCTTCTCAAGCTCTTTTTTTATCCGACCTTTAAGAGAATTTGCATAGGGGACATATTTAGGGTTGCACAGCCAGTCAGTACTCATTTTTCATGGCGTTAGGCTTTGAGTAATGGTAAATACCTTCCCCTGGTCATTTGTCTGTTTCTTGCTTCTTTTGTTCCACAAAGCAGTAGCTTTATTGAGAAAGTTAAGCATGGAAAAAATGACTAATCAGCAACTTGTTTCTTTGCCTTAACTTTATCTAAATCTTCTCTTGCCTCTCTCTCCTCTCTCTCCTATTACAGCATCAGAGGGTTCAAAACAAATACAAAGTAGGTTGCAACATTATAATTTATTCTTTCTTCACAGAATATGTTTACAGTATTTACAGTTGCATATGTCATATTTCTGTGTGTTTTTGTCTCTGTCTCTCTCAAGTTCAAGTTCAAGTTCAAATGTGATTTATTTATTAGCATGATTAGTCACTGTTAGGTAGAATATGGCACATAATCTGTATGAAGGCATGGAAATGTGAAATGAGAACATACATGAAACCAAATTCTGATTGATAGAAAATTAATAGAAAGTATAAATAGAAATTAAAAAAACTTTAAGGGTTGGCAGACATAGATGCTGATTTAATCACAAACAATCACGTAAGTCAATATTTGCTTGGAAAAGCCCCCCAAATAAAGATTTTAGAACTCAAAATAATCACATTATTGTGGCACGAGTGAAGCATGAAATAGAAATATCTAAAGGTGGCATTAGAAATCCAAAATCTTCAGACATCCAAATACTATTGTTCTTTTTCACTGAACCTTAGCATATTACAATTTTTAAAAAAATCTAAATTAATGTAGTAAATTTGACAGCATTTCCCAACAAACTAGGGTGGCAGCTGGGGTTGCCAGGCATTTTGCCAGCCCTCTAGATCCACCCCAGCTCAAATGCAAAATCCTCTACACAGCCAAAAGTATGTGGACACCCAAACATTATACCTATACATGATCTCATTCCAAAACAACATTAATGTGCCACAGGATTTGGGGACTTTTTAGATTTTCTAGCAGTCAGCCACACAAGCATTAGAGATATAGGTAACAAGGCCTGGCTAGCGTTCCAGTTCATTCCAAACGTGCTTGATGGAGTTGAGGTCAGGGCTCTGTGCAGGGCAGTCAGGTTCTTCCATGGCTACTCCCCAAAACTCAGAAACGTACCACAAGCTGTTGTCAAGTTAGGAGGCCCATCATATTATAAACTAGAATTAAGAAGCTGAGCCCAAACCATGGAACTAAAAGTCGCAAGAGTGTCCACATACTTTTGGCCACAAAGAAAATCACAACATTTCATTCATAAACTTTCTTTCCCTCTTCCAGAAACTGCAACTAGAAGTAGTGTTTGCTCACTGAGGACCGTTTCGCTTCCAGCCCTCCTCATCCTCATCCTCCTCCTGCTGACTACCTGACTTCCTCATCCGTCCTCACAGCTGACCTCACATATATGTCCTCCATTGGATCAGGAAATACTACTCAGACATTCAAGTACACAATGCAATCTACGCTCAGACAGTGAATGACACAATGCAATCTATGCTAAGCTATCGCAAATGACACATATTATCTTGTGGCTGTTTACCTGTGAAATTCCAGAAAGAATCGGGTGTCTTCTCCAGAACAGGGCCACAGTGACTCAGGGACTGACACGCCGAATCACAGTGATTCATTTCTTGTTATTTTCTTTTCCCCACCTGTTGTGCGAGTAGTAGCACAGAATATTACACGTAGAGTTAGTCATAAGACTCATATCCCTCTCTGAAGCCAAAAGAACAATGAGTCTGTCAGGAAAAACTTTTTTTCTCTTTCTCATCTCTGTTTCTCATTTTCTATAATATTGTGTTGGATTTAGTTCTTTCTGAGAACTTGCCTCCAGTCAAAAAGTGGCCAAATAAACACATACTACTGTACAGGTTTGAGGTCACTCAGTGAGCTGGTGACTTTCTTCTTTTTCTTTACGTGGGCCGACATCAAGGGCTGACACATTTTAAACTGCCTTATTTGAATCTGAGTAAGATAATTGTGTTAAACCTTTGTAACTAATTAGATTTTGGAAATAAAAGGGTTTTAGGAGGAAATGTTCTGGAATAGTCATGCAGGGCTGCTGCGCCCCCTACTGGGATTAAACTGGTTTAACTGGAGTTGGACTGGGTTGGCCATGAACTCAGAAACTGGACACTAGATTTTGGTGCTAGATGGTGATAATGGGACCTTGGGCAGAGTTTGTCCTCTCTGTTTGAGAATCAGAGATTCAGAATAAAGCACAGAACAGAGGGGGTTTATGGGTAAATGGTAAGCATCAGCTCCTTTCGCTCCACTGTACACACTGCGGACCACTGACTTTGGTTGATGCCTCTTGACCAATCAGATGTGCACGTATGCAGACAAGCTTTTTGTTGTTTTTGTTGTTGTTGTTTTGAACGCAGGATCCTTGATTTTAGGTTTTACTGTATAGTTAATATATTCTGCAAAATGAAATATATTGACTACATTATTCAATGTTTTAGTGAGATCTGATCTCTGGTATTTAAGTGCAAAGGTCCGACAAAAAATATCCTTTTGCATATACAAACAATGATTTACGTTCTGGATATATATATGTATATACTGGTATATTTTCATTATTCACTGCTGCAATGTAGTTTTGCAAGTTAAATGATGGTGGAATTAATTTAATTATTATTATTTTTTTGCCAAATAATTGTTTTAAGAAATCTCTCTAATTGACTGTCGTCAATTGAGAAAAAATATCATAATGAATTTACAATTCATTTATTTTCATAATCTTAAATTGAAGTTAGAGATAATACAGTTGTGTATTTTTCATTGAATTTAAATGAAGTTTATGTATTTATGAAATTACATAAATTATTTCCCCACAATATTTGAGTGACTTAAGTTCAGAAAATCTATAGGTTAGTTTCTATCTTTAAAAAAACTACATTGTTAGCACTAATATATTTTTTTCTCTCTACATATTTGGGTCTCGTGCTGTAAATCACACCAGTCATGCAGTTGTTGTTTTTTTTATGTTAATTTCCTTAATGATGTTTGAAGATTTGTTAAATAATTTCAGTGATGTAGAATTTTACAGTCATGTAAACTTTAAATTGTTTTTTGATTTCTTTTTGCGTGTGTATCGTGTTCTGCTTTCACATTTTAGTGAAGAATGTAGCTTCTTCTGTGAAGAGCCAACTGCAATCTGAGCCTTTTTTTTCTACGTGGCAAAACAACAAAATAAATATGATTGCATTTAAACACTTCAAGTCGATCCTCATTTAACTTTTGAAAGTATCGATGTTTTATGTAACCGCAGGTCTCAGTGACAATACACACAACTTTACTTGCAGAACACACACATTCAGTGTAATACACAGGAGTACAGAGATAAGGAGACTTCTGGGACTTGAAATGACCTTGTGGTGTAAGAGGCCACTGTAATGTGAGTAACCTAGTGGAATATTGAGCTGAGTTTTTATCTATGGGCAGCCAAAGTCTGATAAGACTCAGATAACCAATAGACTCCCGGTATTAATAGACCCTGAAGCACCATTGCCAATACATCGACCTTTAAAGTAGTGGCTTTATTTTCAGTAAACACAGAACTGAGACTGAATACAGAGCAAGAGGAGTTGTTTTTGTTTTGCACTTTAAATATAGAAATGTACATCCAAATAAGCTGTAAATGTATTTCCATTTATGTCAGCTGAAATGTAGAGCCTCGTGTGAAGCCAGAAAGGCAATTTCCTGGATAATGGGGCTAATGCTCCTATTTCATGGTTTATGATCTCTTCTGATGACATGTTTGTCACTGTTGACGCATGTTATGAACTGCCTTTGATTTTGACCTTCACATAGAAATATCCAAAGCCTATGTTTTCATTCTTTTTCTATTGTGAATGATGAAGTGAGCGCACTAAAATCAGCAGAAAGTGGGGGGGGTACTTTTAGACCAACTTAAAAAGCAGCATCAGTAAACCGAGCCTGTATCCACTGTACGGCTGTTTATTCCAGCAAAAGCGTGCATAAACCAAAAGTGTGATATCAAGGTTTTTTTTTTTTTTGTATGTTTTATCTTTGACTGCAGACAGGAAATGTTTGAACAATCAAACCAAAAATTTATATTTTCATAATGTCCTTGTACTTGACAGTGTTGATGTTTTGAACAAGTCTGTGTCGATGTACTAAAGCTGGAACTGATCTCACCCTCCAAAATAAACTTCATAATTATGGACAGATGTTGCCATATTATATAAATTTAGAAGATCATGAAAACCTCACGTCAAGGCTTCCTCTGAGGCTTACTTGGGGAAGACTGTGATCATAAACAATTTTTGGGACGACAAACTTAGTTTTTAAGTATCTGTCTGAAAAAAAGGATCCTTATTGCATATCCATATTGCGGCTCTCCTTTTCCGTGACACTGTAATTACACTGTATCAAATTTCAACACAGCAGATTCTGTTGCCACAAGTTGGCCTATATCTAATTGGACCTCGGCTGAATATTTAAGACTCGGGTTGCCGGCGTTGATTACATCTTCCGAAATACAAAACTGTTGGCTATTAATAGAAGCAAACAATGCTTATATAGTTATATTGTAACTTTTTGAATAAAGACATATATTTAAAGTAGAGACTCGCAAATCTTTTAAGGGTTATATTATATTACACTTTTTACAACAAAAAAAATGTTGAAATAAATTCTAAGCTGTATAGAATTAAATAAAATCTGGTGAAGTTGCACCTTTTTCTTTTAGTGTTCAGCAGAGAGTAGATGTCTTGGACTTTCCTTGAATTTTGGAAGGGTTTTCTTCACAGTTTCTCAGTGTGTAATCAACACCTTGATCACATTCTTCTGCCTGACCAGTGTATATTTCACATATTTCAGAACCAAGGTGAACTGAGGTGAGGTGAGGTGAGAGGGCATCTGCAGAAAGTGTCCTTCTGAATACTTTGGAGAAGAAATGCTTTAAGCTCACAAGGTCCTTGAGAAAAATTGTGTTTAAACACTTTGAATTCATTTGTTGGTTTTTTGTTATATTTTATTGAATTCACAGCATCTATAAAAAATAAGCACTTCATCTCCGCTGGGCAGTGAAGTGATACAAGGCCAAGCTGGCTTTCTTTGGGCAGTCTGTCCTTCGAATCCTTCATCAGGTATGTTTTAGGAAAAAAACACAAGTAAAGAGAAGAATACAGTGTAGTAAGTAATGAAAGTGTGCCTTCAATTTGTATTATTCTAGACAAGCTTGTTAAGATGCTGTATTTATTTTTTAATTGAGGTTTAAATTATTTACTACTTTTGCTGTTTTGTGTTGACTGTTTTCACCGAGATGGGGCTGTAAATGTTATTGATGGGCAGAGCCAGTGGGAGATTTCAATGCAGCCTAAACTTGTGCTCCACTGATCTTTCCAGCTCACTTATCTAATATTTTTCATTTCTGCCCATAACTACCCACATCTGTCTACCTCCAAAAACCTTTTCGCATCAGGAAATGGGACTGAATTACAGTTTAAATCTCCTGACCTCTCAGACTCAAATGTAAAACATTGCATCTTTTAGCATGAAGATGCTCTCTGAACAGGAAAAGGGTTTTTTGTGTTGGGTGCCATCACTCCCACATGCCTGTAAACAGCTTGGAGTCTTATTTACTCCTGAAGGTAACGTCTCAGCAGTGTGTGCAGTAGTACATTGTCCCACAAAAGAGCTCTCAACAATGTCAAGATCAAGGGCTATGGTAAAGTCTCCACAGCAAAACTTGAAATCTCTTGCACATATTGCGTCTACTTTTTCAACACTTTATAATCAGATACAGTATATATTTCCCAGGGTGAATATCTGACCTCTCATGCAGTGGAGAGTAAAAAACTGACTTAATATGTTAAATCTGTGAAGTGGGTTATAACAAGCGGACCTGCTACTTAAATGCCTTTATATTCTTCAGAACAAGAAGAATATCCTCCATTATTAGTTCTGGGAGGTTTCCCTTCACTTCTTTTCCCAGCGACACATTTAGGAGTATTTCCAATGGCCCCTCACAGTTGATCAATGGTAACAACACACTTTACCTCATATACTTACAGAACTGAAACAGCAGTTGTTCTGCAACCATTATAGAAAATATTACCTTGTATAATAGAGAATTCAGCTGTGTTTACATTGGAGGCTTGGGCAGCCATTCTATAAACACAGAAACCCTAAAGCTTTAAAACCATAGTAAGGTAATTATAGTACTTAAGTATGACAGAGAATTATTGCTAGTTTACAAGTTTGACTGGGATAATCACACTAGACTACCCAAAAATTACCAGCAAAATCACATAGTTTAAATCATTTCTCAAATTGCAGATTCAAAATGTCACCCAAAAACCACTGAAGAAAATAATTTGGAATAGATGATGAGTCTATTGAAATAACACATTTGCATTTACACATTCATTACTGAAGATGCCACATCACAACAGACGCAGCATACTGCAGAAATATGTTGTTTACGCTAGGGTTAGGTGATGCTATCATTTGTTGCTCAGTGTTTTTTTGTGTGAGACTTTGGGCTGTGAAAGCCTCTGAGGATTATCATTGAATCATTTTGTAGCCTTGATGTTATTTAATTTCCAGGTGAGGTTTTTATTTCTCCTTCTGCTGTAAGCACACTTTATTTGTTCTAAATAAAGTCTAAACTATCTGTGTCTGCCTGTGGTAGTCTTATTCACATTTTTTAGACCTGTCAGTCAGCCAATAACAGTGTAACCTATGTCCACAAAGGAGGCACTTCAAGTGCGTCACACAGGACTGTGATGAATGTGGATGGACCAGATTATGACGTAGGAGAATAAATACACATGTTAACTGTTTTGGTGTTAAGCTCGAGTCAACAGATATAACCTACAGTGTATTGACTCACATGTCTGTTTTGTCAGTGTGTTTTCATTCACCATTCACATTTTCTATATAAGAGCAACTCAAGGACACTCGAACATTGCAAGCATTCATTTTTAATACTAAAAACCTGAACAAGATTTCAGGAAGGACATAAATATAACTTCTATGCCTGATTTTGGATATTTTACATTAATTCATACATAAAATTGGCCTCAGAAAAGGCCTGGCAAGACTATCTGAATGTTTAATATCCGGTCCTAATCTTTAAAAACAGGAATCAGTTGACATTGGCTGGGCCTTTCTAGTGTTAAACATCTCTCATCTTTCTAACACCCTGCACCATGTTTAAATTATGACTGCTGAGTGCAAATGAGCTCAAGTTGAGTTGTGCTGAGGTGATTTTTTCTCATCAGTTTTCAGCATGCTGGTTGAAGCTTCACAGACCCTGCCCCCCTTTATATTAAAGCAGCCCGCTGTGTAAAAGGCATTTCTGAACGCATCCCATGTGTGCGGCTACGAGCAGGGGGTCTTGGTTCTGTAGTACAGGACTGCGAGCTGTGACAAACTTAGGATTATGAGACTGGCTTTTATTTGAACGCACCAAAACCAGACACAAACGAGCTAAGTCAGTCACACTTCACATGGCAACAAGCAAAGCAGCCGCCTTCCTCGTTCTCCCTCCCACTTTCTCCCTTCCTTTCTTTCTCTCTTACTTTCATCCACTTTTAATGTGTGACACTTTGATACTGAACATCCTATTTCCCGTGTTCTGGTCGATTGGCTTTACATGCAGATGGGTTGGTAATTTGCATAGACTCAAAGGTCTCCCTTCTCTCCTGATGCTTTCTGACAACGGAGTGTCTATTCATCCTCTGTGTTAAGCATCCCTCCCAGGACATCGCCTGAATTGCTGTCTCATGCTGCTTCAAGTCTCGTTTTACACTGCAGGAACTGCTGAGGAATTGGATTAGGAACATATTCCTTTAGAGAAAAGCATCACAGTCACCAAGGCAGGCTTGCATCTGAAATGGATAGTTCACTCTGATATCAAAGCTTGTCACATGTTTTTGTACAAAGTGATCTTAAGTCATGCTGAGTCCATTTCACACACACACACACCGTTAGCTGTGGATTCTGTTATACCTTAGAGTCCCACCTGGGAGATTTCGAGAGTGTATCAGCAGAGTAGCAAGAAGTTATATGGACCTAATGCAGAGGAGGTTCTTCTTTTCCTCACATCACCTTAAGTGGCTGTGGTGATCATACTTCCGCCAGCAGACCTCAAATCTGTCTTCGGAGAACCAATTACGTTTAAATAGGCACAGGAGGAAATAAAATAGCCACTTTTTTTTATTCCTGCTTGTTCCACTTTCTCTCAAATGACTCAAAAGTTGCTGTATCCGAATTTCAAGAATGTTTTGTTTGCAGTTTTGTAGATTTCAAACAGGCCCTGTTTCAAAAGCACAGCAGTGTGAAATTAAAAAATAAGATATTCATAAATATGCAGTTGAGGAACACATACACACAAAAAAGTATTTTAGTCCAGATACTTTAAGGCCCCTAGTCAATACCCATATCCTCCCACTATGTCACCCAAAACGTTTTTCTGACTCTGTCTCCCAGGTCAAAATCAAAACATCATTTTGAAATTCATAAGGAGAACTGAACAAAAAAATGTAGAGTTTTAATACACAGCGAAGGCAGTGAGGGAGGAAGTGGTGTGATGACTACAGTAGATAGTTGCTGGATACAGTAGTGAAGCCATAACAGACATGAAGGATGAAACAGGCAAGTGAGAGTGATGGAGTGACAACTGAAAGAGGATGAAGATGAAACTGCGGAAGATAGTGGAACAAAAGGACAAAGGTAATAAACTTTAGAAAGATATCATACAAATGTCAAAATCAATTTAGCATCCCTGCCTCTAGTGACAGCTAAAGGCAGGGGTGGAAGAAATATTCAGACCTTTTTCTGAATTTTACTGTTGTATGTGGTCCAAGTGGAGCTGGTTTCAACTACTTTATATTGATTATGTTAAGCAAGAATGACTAGATAAATCTGAGGGGGTCCTGACATGATTAATGAGGGATACAAGAATAAAAAGTAATGCTATACAAATCTTTCTGCATTTTGGGGATTTTTTTACTCTTATCTTTGCTTTTTTATGAAATATTGGAGCAGTCCACCTCTTTGGGCCTTGAAGTTATTTAAATGAAACCATGTGGGAAGTTTTTTTTTTTGGTAAGGGGTCACATGCCAAAAGGTTTGGGAACCACTGATTTAATCGTAATAATCCATTTATAATAGATTG